TACAGTTCCTCATGTTGCGACCCAACCATAAAATTATTTTCGTTGCTACTTCATAACTGTAATGTTGATACTGTTATGAATCATAATGTAAATATCTGATATGCAGGATGGTCTTAAGCGACCCCTGTGAAAGGGTCGTTCGACCGTCAAAGGGGTCTCGACCCACAGGTTGAGAGCCGCTGTCTTAGAAGGACCTCATTTTATTGTGTAATCTTTTGCTAAGCATCTTGTGAAGGCTGCCTCAAAATAAGCAGGGGATTCACGCTTGGTTTCCCCAGTGGATTTCAAATTATTTCACAGAAGTTACCGAACTGCTGCCACTTTAAAAACAATGTTTTCAGAGGGGACGGGAGGTGGGGAAGTAGAAGAGGGTATGGGGGGATAAATGGTGATGGAAGGAGACCTGACTTGGGGTGGTGAACACACAATACGATATACAGATGATGTGTTATAGAATCGTACACCTGAAACCTATGTAATTTTATTGACTAGTGCCACCCCAATAATTTCAATAAAAAAATTTAAAAACAGTGTTTTAATAATCTAACATTAAGCTAGATTAAAGTTTAACAGAAAAGTGTTCACATTTTTCACATATTAGACTCCCTAAAATATCACTCATGGGATGGTGGATGTCTTTGTTTGGGGCCTAAAATCCTTCTATGTGTTGGGGAATGGCCCCTCACCACCCAGCATGGTTTTGTGTGACTGCTGTCCATGCCAGAACCACAGGAGTTGGCCATCGGACTTGATCAGGGCACTGGTCGTATCCCTGCCCCCTCCCCTGGGTGTAAGGCTCAGGCACGTGCAGGACAAGGCCAAGGCAGGATGCATCAGAGTCCTTCCATCAGGCCTGGGGGAAGGATGCTGGGATGGAAGCGGTCCTCTCTTCCTTCTGGAAGGGAGGCTGCCAGAGGGAGGAATTCTGTCGCCCCACTTGGAGGGAGTCTTTCTATGACACGTGAGAACAAAGCCAATGAGCAAAGAGGCTGGGATGGTCAAAACAAAGGAAGGGGGAGATGTTTCTTGAGTCTCCAAAAACAACGATGCCTGAAGCAAGCTCACTCTCGATCATCACAAGACGAGACTGTCTCGCTCACCACCGCACCATCCTTCTTGGCAGACACCAGAGCTCCATCAATATTCGTTGAGTGGGTAAATGTACACGAAGCCAGGAGACACTCCTCAGGTTTCGTGAGTTATTTCTAACCCTTGAAACTGGAGGTGCTCTGACTGCCGAATGCACCCACCCAGGTAAACCTCAGTATTGCCCAGGAGCACCCTCAGCTCTGCAATTACAGCTCTACAGCAGCATAAGGACAATGTATGGAAGTGACGGGTGAGCCATACATTTATTCCCAAAAAGATAGGAATATTAAAATAACACATTTTCTGTCAAACTGTGTAGGAAGATACGGAGCCATTGTAGGGCAGATAGACATTTTATAAGTTGTCTATTCACAAAACTGTTTAATTTGGCACATGGGGAAATGCCGAGTGCCATTTTAAAATCTGTATCACCTTTAGCTTAATTGTATTTGTACTAGTAGAGCATCATGCTCTACTAGTCTAGTTAGTTATTTATACCTGGAACTTTTGTTGCTCTCTTATTGGCCTAAATCATAAATTAAGTAGTATATTAACAGATACTCGTATGCACTGATTTTTAGCCAGGGATGCAGGTCAGACTCACCTGTAATGCATTTAAAATGTTTTCTTGTAGACATAGGCACCCCTATATTCATTGCAGTGTTATTTACAAGGGCCAAGATATGGAAGCAACCTAAGTATCCATTGATAGGTGAATGGATAAAGATGCAGTGCACATATATTATAAAATATTACTCAGCTACAAAAAAGAATGAAATCTTGCCATTTGTGACAACATGGATGGACCTGGAGGTTATTGTGCTAAATGAAATAAGTCAGAGAAAGATATATCATATGACTTTGCTTATATGTGGAATCTCAAAAACAAAATAAGTAAACAAACAAAACAGAAACAAACTCATAGATACAGAGAACATTTTGATGATTGTCAAATAGGAGGGGTTTTGGGTACTGGATGAAAAAGGGGAAGGGATTAAGATGTACAAATTTCCAGTTATAAAAATAAACATGGGGATATAAAGTATAGCATATGGAATATAGTCAATAATACTGTAATGACTATGTATGGCACCAAATGGGTCCTAGACTTATCAGGGTGATCACTTCATACGTTATATAAATGTCTAATCACATTTATATAAATGTGCTGTAAAAAAGAAGGAACTCTTACCATTTGCAACAGCATGGATGGAACTGGAGAGCATTATGCTAAGTGAAATAAGCCAGTCAATGAAAGAAAAATACCACATGAACTCACTCATTTATGGATAATAAAGACCATTATAAACTGATGAACAAAAATAGATAAGAGGCAGAGCAGCATCAAACAGACTGTCAAACTACAACGGGAAGGCTGGGGAGGATTTGGGGGGGGCGGGAAGCAGGTAAGAGATCAACCAAAGGACTTGTATGCATGCATATAAGCATAACCAATGGACATAAGACACTGGGGGGTAGGGGAGGCCAGGGGAATGTCAAGTGGTGGGGGGGGGGGGGAGGATACATATGTAATACTCTTTGTAATACTTTAAGTAATAAAACAAAATTAAAAAAATTTAAAAAAACCTATGGTACACTGAGTGGATTAGAAAACTGAGGTACATCTACACAATGGAATACTATGCTGCTGTAAAAAAGAAGGAATTCTTACCATTTGCAACAGCATGGATAGAAATGGAGAGCATTATGCTAAGTGAAATAAGCCAGTGAGAAAAAGATAAATATCACATGATCTCACTCATTTGTGGAATATAATGAACAACATAAACTGATGGGAAAAAAAATAGATCCAGAAACATAAAAGCATCAAACAGATTATCAAACCTCAGAGGGAAGACAGGGGAGAGTCGGGGGAGGGACGGGGGTAAGAGATCAACCAAAGAACTTGAGTGCATATAAGCATAACCAATGGACACAGACAATAGAGGGTAGAGAGTGGGGTGAAGGCCTAGGCTGGAGGGCTGGGGTGGGCTGGGAAGAGGACAATGGGAGGGAAAGGAGACATATGTAATATTTTCAACAATAAAGAATTTTTTTAAAAAAGAAAAATTTAGAAATTACAAAAAAAATAAGAAAAAAAATTTAATTAAAAAACAATAGTCCTAGCTGATTTGCCTCAGTGGATGGAGCGTCAGCCTGCGGACTGAAGGGGTCCTGGGTTCGATTCTAGTCAGGGGCACATGCCTGGGTTGTGGGCTTGATCCCCAGTGGGGGGCATGCAGGAGGCAGCTGATCAATGATTCTCTCTCATCATTGATGTTTCTATCTCTCTCTCCCCTCTCCCTTCCTCTCTGAAATCAATAAAAATATATTTTAAAAACAACAACAAATGTTTTCTTTTACTTGGATTTAGTTATGTTCAGGGTAGAGTCTGGGCATTTAGTAGGTTTGAGATGTACCCTTGTGATTAAGTCCTACTCTCAAAACCTGCCCAGGACACACTTCAAGCTAAGTTTCACACCCTTACCATCCTTTAAGGCAATAGGAAGCATTCCTTTGCCAAACACTAACTCTAACTGTATCATTTATTTCCTCTTGGTAGCAATTCCTCAGTTGTGGCTGCCTGTATGAGATTCTTTCTTAAACTCATTTAATAAACATTTATGGAGTGCCTAACATCATCAAGTAACCAAGTAGGCACTGGCGGTAAAAAGGCAGGTTTCTGCTCCCAGGGAGCTCACATTCAACTGGAGGGATGGACACAGACATATAAACATAATGGTAATAAAATGTTACACTTGTGAGGACAGAATTGTGTAAGGCACAGAGGACAAAGTGATTCTATTATAGCATGTCACAACCTAAGGTGCACGGACTGTGTGGTTGGGAACTGGGTGGCATGGCAGGGTGATCATTCATACCTGTGGTTACTCATCTATGAGCTGACTCCAGAATGTGTCAGGTCAGGCCTACTGGTTCGGACTTGCCTCACCGGATCACCCAGCCAGCAGCGCCTTCCCTGTGCCTAGTCCTTGAAGACAATCCTTCTTAGTTTCACTTTTTTGCTCCTCTTCCCCAGGGTAGTAAGGGGATAATCAGACCAGGACAAGGTAAGGAGGGGGTGACTGACTATAACAACCCAACTTGATGGCCAGCCGCTAGGAGGTCAGCCTTCTCTCAGGTTCCCGAATACTGAAGAGCCATAGTCTTGCTGGCGTTCATAAACCCTAGGCCTGTCAATCTTTTGCAACTTTCTTCAACATCTATTTTTTTTAACTCAGCCATATTTTTTTGTCAATAAAAAATCTACAATAAACAATTCATCATGTAAATTTTGGAAAAAGGTATTTTTCAGTATCATGCACTACCATTACCAAGTTAAAGCAATGGTTTAAGTTTTGTTCCTAAAAGCTTTAATAATCCATATTTTAAATAAAAATAATTTAATTTTCTTGTACATCCTGTTTAGGGAGAATATAGGAAGTAACACAAGAGGAGAAAAGAGAGGAAATGTGAAATGTTTAGTGAAGTGAGTTGTTTGAGTTTTAATAAGAATAAACCAGCACCTAGGAAAGACTCATTGAGATGGTGTGAGCAGTTGCTTGGGGGCAGCGAGACATAGGCGATATGTTCCTCCTCTTCCAATTTTTCCATTGTCCTCTAAAAGGCCATCACATTATAATGTTTTTAAAAAAACACCTGCCCTAACCAGTTTCGCTCAGTGGATAGAGCGTCGGCCTGAGGACCAAAAGGTCCCAGGTTCGATTCCAGTCAAGGGCATGTACCTTAGTTGTGGGCACATCCCCAGTAAGAGGTGTGCAGGAGGCAGCTGATCAATGTTTCTAACTCTCCATCCCTCTCCCTTCCTCTCTGTAAAAATAAAATAAAATAAAATCAATAAAATGTATTTTTTAAAAATTTTTAAAAACTTAGTTTCAAAAGGACCTCACTCCAATTATTCCACAAGTTAACATTTTTGCTCCCTTCTTTTCTATGAGATAAAATGTTTCTATTAATGTACTAATTTCTATGATAGTCTTTCTTCTATGGGTGCTCATCTAGAAGAGAAATGAATTATGCCATTAAATGGAATAGATATTTACCAATGATGGTCATTTGTCAGATTTCCAGTTTATACTAACTTTCAAAGTGACAGCTGACTTGTCACTCTTCTCCAACATCCAAAGAGAGTCCACAGTCCCGGTCACGGGCCACGCCTCCTGTGTATAAATACAAGGTTTACTTGAAAGGTCTACCTCAAGCCCACCATCTCTGTGAAGATTTTCCTAGCCACCCAAGCCATTGAGCTACTTTTTTAAAAAAAACTTCTATAGCATTATATGTATCACATAAGTTTTATTTATATGATCTTACATTCTATTTTTTTATATAGTAGACTTTACTTATAAAGCATTATTGGTTAGCTACTGTGTGCTAGGAACTGTGTTAGCACAAGGAGAATTGAATAGGACAGACTATAATAGAGTGTAATAAATAATAGCCGTTTCTAAATATGCACAGTTCTTTGAAAATCCAGAAAGAAAATACCTCACTCTTTGCCCATCCACATTGCCATCCACATTCCACTCCACACATTGACTGCACCCCAGGAAGTTGCTGTAGGTCTTTTAGAATCCAGAGCACCCACTGGTATAGTGGCTGGAGGTAGGACAAGCTTGCTTGCTCCTTCTCCCTTCAAGTTTCACCTATAAGGAAGGGTAGCAGGCTGAGTCAGGGGCTGCTTCCTCGGAAGGCTTATTTAGGGCCCCTTGGTGCTCTTAGTTGATGGCATGTTCCTTTTCCCCAGTTTCTTCCTTCCATGCAGCCAGCTAGACTGCAGTAGGATTTGGGATGATGACCAGGAGCTGTGGCGTGGCCATGATGACCAGCCTGGGCTTTGTGATCCAGCTGAGAATCACACTGCAACCTGCAAGGGTGTCTGGGTCCAAGTCCAGTTAGCAATTTCCCACATGTCCTGTGTTTATATCCCTCAAGAAACTCATGAGGAAGGGTGACTGTGGTTTGAAGTAGATCTGTACACCCCTTTCGTAATACTATCAATCGTGTCTCCAATTTCTTACATTGGCCATTTTGGATAGAAATTGGACCTTAGATTTTTTTTTTTAATTTATTTTTATTACAGGAAGTATTACAGATGTCCCCACCCCCATTGATGCCCTCCTCCCCGCTCCAGGAAAAAGGAACAAAACTTTGATCTGTATTTTTGTGTCTCTGTTTTTGAACCATTCTTTTTAAGATAAGATTGCCTGATTGCCTTTTGTAAACTGTCCTGTGGAATCTTGAGAAACTGTGGTTTTAGAATGCATTCTCACCACACACCCCCCTTCTAAGCCACCACAGGGAAAACGATTGTAATGATAAAACAGTGTTAGAGGGCTATCACTGTTGACTAATCTCCCTTCAACAATCAGAATGATGGAGTAAAACTTTGGTCCTAAATAACAATGTTGTTTTACCACATCACTTTTGCTACTATCATGTCTTCAAATAAAAGATAACATGGAATTTGGGTAAACAAAGAGGCAGATAAAATAAAAGTTTTCCAAACTATATTGACAACAGCTTTCTTTGGATTAAATATATATATATGAGTACTAAACTCTAAGCAAGGGAAAAGATTTTCACAGAGATCACAGCTTTTTTACTGATATGACCAAAGTGAGAAAGAAAACAAAAGTAGAACTTGTGTGAGATTCTGTGCAGTGTAAGAGATTCGTTCTGCTTCCTGTGAAGGCTACTTCTTCCCCCAAACAACATCTTCCTTGGAACACAGTCCAACTGACATGGATTATGGTGGGTACATCCATGTGTACATCTGAGTAGACTAACAGACAATAGGGATGTTTTAATTCCTCCCTTCCAGAGCTATCCATTCTGTTGAATACCTTCAACTCTGTATGAGATGCTGTATGATTATGAAGGAGATGAAAAGACAAAGAATCTGATTTAATTTTCATTCCTCTCAAAAGAAGTCAAATGCCTTTCAAGTTTCTATGTATCGTAAAATAATGTTTCTTTCACTCCAGAATCTATCTCTGGACTAAAACTGCCTAGTTATTTAACCATGAACTTGAAAACTAAACTTCAGATTGGGGAAAAAATATGCTGTGTACCCAGAAAGTCCAGAGGACAGTTAAGGAGGAAAAATTAAATTTCTTAAAGTTAGTGGTTTAGCTTCTATTTTGTAGCAATGAAATTTTGTATGTGATGTTGCATAACGGCGGTGCTTTTTGGAGTGGTGTGGGAGGTGAAGTAGAAAGTCTCTTCCCGCGTTGTGCCTCTAACTAGGCTCTGCAAGCACCCTAGCGTCTAAAGGTGTCAGGACATTCTGTTCATTTTGTCGAGAAAAGAAATCTTGCCACTATGTGCACAATCGTGTGAATGAATATTCAGCACCTCCAACTCAGATTCACGGCTAATGATCTAGATTCTGAATTTTCAAGGGCAAATTGCACGGCCTCCTTCTAGCATGCTGCCTTTCCTTTTTAGCAGTTTCATCATTTGTTCACACTTCCAGGAGAAGAAAGAACGAAGATGAAACATAAATTCACCAACTTATTTCAACTAAGTCCTTAATCTTGCCCAGGTCTCTGGTTCCAAGAGAGCTTGTAGAAGAGCTCTGTTAAGAAGCAAAATTTAACTGAGTAAATTTAAAGATCTAATTGGCTTTGTTAAATGATTCATGAATTGAGCAGCAGCTCATCTAGCAAGCAGGGAGACCCTCCAAGGGGTTAAACAAGGTGGAAGGCTTTTATAGAAAAGAGGGTGAGGGGAGGAAGTCATCAGCAAGAGAAAAATATAAATTCACTGGAGGAAAGTAAGAGTTCAGGTGAAGACAGTTTCTCATTGGTTGAACCCTGGTATTTCCATTGGCTGGGCTTGTTGCTGGGCAAGAGGAAAACCTCCCTTCCTCCTGCTGGAGTGGTAAAGTAGCTGCACTTCCTGTTTGGGGATGCAAGGGGTGTCTCCTCCTCTTGGGTCTATAACTGCTGTCTTCTTGTTTGGAGTAATCGACAGCTTCCTGTTTCAGGTAATTGACCTTGAGTGGTAGGCATGAGAGGTCCCTCCACAGACCTTCCCTACTCCAATTTTAGTTCAGGTTGCCTTTATTAATTTTCGCAGCATGGAGCCCTCAAGGGGAGCCATCAGAAAACATAACATTGTCACACCTGGACAAACTGTGATCTCTTCATACAAAAAGACAGCAACCTAAGGAAATATTTCATGGCACTGTAATAAACAAACAAACAAATACAAAAATAATAAATAAATGCCTGACTGAATCAGGATCCAACCATCAGAAGGTTTCAATTACCCATGTGCTGAGCATCAGCAGAGAGACTGTAACACTGTGTGTGTGTGTGTGTGTGTGTGTGTGTGTGTGTGTGTGTGTGTGGAGAGAGAGAGAGCCTAAGAGGGGTAAACAACTGAATTTGGTCTGCTGCCTCCTTCAACAGGTAGCCTTGAACTAAGGGGCACAAAATTTGGTTTGTTCTTGAGAAGTCTTTTGTCTGATTTGCTGGGATCACTTTATAGGGCCTCTTCAGAGGCATTTGGAACTAAAGTCGGTATTTCTGATGCTGTATGGGTGTAGTCACCAGAAACTGAAAACACACCCCTGCAGAGCTTTTATTTACTGATGACAGTTTAAGGAACACAGAGCCCAAAGCAAAACTGTGGAGTACACGCCCTCACCGGTTTGGCTCAGCAGATGGAGCATCGGCCTGCAAACCGAAGGGTCCCGGGTTCGATTGCGATCAAGAGCATGTACCTTGGTTGCAGGCTCCTCCCTGGCCCAGGCCCTGGTCAGGTCTCATGCAGGAGGCAACCAATCAATGTGTTTCTCTCACATAATATTTCTCTCTGTCTTTTCCTCTCTCTCCCACTCTCTCTAAAAATCAATGGGAAATATCCTGGGGTGAGGATTAAAAACAAACAAAACAAAACAAAAACTGTGAAGTACATGAGGCTTCTCTTGACACAGACCCACCTTTGAATCCTCCTCTATCCTAATAGTACCATGGCCCCTGCTCCCCACTCCCCATGTATAGCAAATAAGCACTTGAAAAGATGTGCAATGTCTTGGTCATTAGGGAAATGCAAAATAAAACCATAAGGTAGATCACTACATACCCATTAGGATGGCTAAAATGAAAAAGATGGAGTATTCAAAGGGATGACAAGAATGTGGAGGAATTCTTATATACTATTGTTAGGTATGCAAGATAGCACAAACTTCTTAAAAAGTTTAATATACACGTACCATATGACCCAGCCAAAGAGAAATGAAAGCTTATATCCATACAAAGATGTGTACATAAATGTTCATGGCAACTTCATTTATAACAGTCCTAAAGTGGAAACAACCACAGGGAAGAACTGCAAAATAATTAGTCCAAGAGAAACTATCCAGACAAAATAAGTACACACAGTGCTAAGAAACCCTAGAAAGAAATGTGCACTAACCTATAGTGGCAGAAAGCAGACCAGTGGTTTCTTGGAGATGGCAATGGAACTGAGGAGGGGCAGGAGAGATGAACTGCAAAGAGAGGAAAAGTTTTTAGAGAGTGATGGATATGTTCATTATCTTGATTATGGTGATGATTTCATAGGTGTAAACATATGTCAAAACTTATTACATTTCTGCTTTTAAGATTCTCTCTTTGTCTTTAAGCTTTGGCATTTTAATTATGATGTGTCTTGGTGTGGGCCTCTTCGGGTTCATCTTGTTTGGGACACTCTGCATTTCCTGGACTTGTAAGCCTATTTATTTCACCAGGTAGGGGAAGTTTTCTGTAATTATTTCTTCAAATAGGTTTTCTCTCTCCCTCTCTCTCTTTCCCTCTCTCCCTCTCTCCCTCTCTCCCTTTCTCCCTCTCTCCCTCTCTCTCTCATCTCCTTCTGATGCCCCCATGATGCAAAACAGCAATGGAGCACCCATCTGACTGTCAGCTAATTTATCAACAGAAACTTTGCAGGCCAGAAGGGAGTGGTAAGAAATAGTCAAATTCAAGATTACTATACCCAGCAAAGCCATCATTTAGAATTGAAGGTCAGATAAAGAGCTTCACAGACAATGAAAAGCTAAAGGAGTTCATTACCACCAAACTAGTATTATGAAATGTTGAAGGGTATTCTTTAAGAAGAAAAAAAAAGATAAAAATATGAATAATACAATGGCAATAAATACATATCTATCAACAATTGAATCTAAAAATCAAAATAAATGAACAAGCAATCTAATGAACAAAATAAACTGATGAATAAAATAGAACTAGAGGCATGGAAACATGAAACAGATAGATGAATCTCAGAGGGAAGGGGAGATGGGGGCAGGAAGAGATTAACCAAAGAACTTATATGCATATATGCATTACCTATGGACACAGACAATAGGGTGTTGAAGGCCTGGGGCTGGGGTAGGAAGAGAGAACCAGGTGGAACTGGGCAATGAGGGTAAAAAAGGGGGAGATCTGTAATACTCTCAACAATAAAGATTTTAAAAAATAAAAAATAAAACAAAAAATAACTTATTAAATTATATACTTATAATATGTACTATTTATTATATGTCAATCATATCTCAATAAAGCTGTTAAAAATGAAAAAAATAGGTAGATATGATCAGTATTTGTAGTTTAAGTGGAGCCTGAAGAACAATCAATATTTAACCAAGATAGTATTTAAAGATCAGGTGTGTAGAATAAATTAGTGATAATGCCCTGAAAGTGTGAGTTCAACCTTCAAATAATGTCTAACATTTTTCATGGCTACTGCAAGAAAGTTTCCTGATTTATTTTTACTTCATCTTTACTAGGTTGTAAACAAGGTATATTTATTTTCTTGGTGACCAATGAAACCCTGGCCATTTCCTCTCAAGCACTCTTTCAACCATGAGAGCTCTGCCTTCCATGTCCTGTGATGTTCCACTAAAAGAAATTTGTGAACTTAAGACAGAAATCACATGTATCACATATTTCATTTTGAGATGGCTGCAAATGAATTTTTCCTTGTCTACCAGTTTTACAGTATTAAATAAGTCTTCATTTCTTTATTTATCCTTGAACACACCATATAACTTTAATCATCCACATGTGTGAGCCATTGTCAACATAATACCAAAAAGAAATAAGAAAAAAATGATCAGGAAAATATATTTTAATGTTATTTTAATGTGCTGGGATTTAGCTTCTAAATTTCTTGAAACAGAAAATTTGAAGATACAATGGCTAGTCCATTAATTCCCTAAAATATCTTTCTAAGAGAAATACCATGGGCTTCTGATACAAGATTATGATTAAGCATATGCATTTGCCTATCTTTCCCAAGACCCTATTTAATTGGCCATAAAAAAGTGTAAAAAATAAAGAAGAAAGAAAGAAAGAAAGAAAGAAAGAAAGAAAGAAAGAAAGAAGGAAGGAAGGAAGGAAGGAAGGAAGGAAGGAAGGAAGGAAGGAAAGAAGGAAAGAAGGAAAGAAAGAAAGAAAGAAAGAAAGAAAGAAAGAAAGAAAGAAAGAAAGAAAGAAAGAAAGAAAGAAAGAAAGAAAATCTATAAGAGTAGAGAGAAAGGGGGAGGAATCATCCACATATGAAAAAAATCAACAAATATCTAGACATTGGGAAGACGAAGGGAGAATGTTAACAGGAGTAGTAGCCATGGTTACCCCCCCAAAAGAAGGGTTGTGAGGCAGGATTTCAAGTAGAGCTGTAGGTAGACTCTGCAGGTAAGAGAGGGCAAAGTTCAGTGGTGGCCCTGAAAACTGGGAACTTAACTAAAGATCTCTTTAGAGAACAGTTGTGCCCATCATCCCTATCTCCACCTCCACTCTTTAATGCAGAAAAATCCCTTCATTCCTTCCTGAAGTCTATCCCCACACTCTTTTATAAAGAAATGAAACAAACTGAGATTACTACGGTAGCAGATCATGCTCAAGAGTAAAGTTTCCCCAATTCTGGAAGCTGGAAGTCACCAGAAGTCTGCCAGTCATGTATCCTGTCCCTTTGTCTAAGTATGAACAGGCACCCAAGGATCACAGAATCTCGATATATAAAAGCCAAAGTGATTGGTCCACCCACCGACTAGTCAACTGGCCAACCGGCCAGTAGCTATGACGTGCACTGACCACCAGGGAGGCAGACGCTCAACACAGGAGCGGAAACCACAAGTATGGAAACATGGAACAGACTGATGAATCTCAGAGGGAAGGAGGAGGGGGGAGGGCAGGAAGAGATTAACCAAAGATCTTATATGCATACTAGAGGCCCGGTGCATGGATTTTCGCACCAGTGGGGTCCCTCAACCTGGCCTGTGGGGATCGGGCTGAAACCAGATCTCCGACATCCTCCGAGGGGTCCTGGATTGCTAGAGGGTGTAGGCCAGGCTGAGGGACCCCACTGGTGCATGAATCCGTGCACCAGGCCTCTAGTGTATAAGTAAAATCAACAGGACAAAACAGAAGGTTGCAAATGAACAGCCCTCAAAAGGAACAGGGAGAATCTCAGAAACAGAAGAGAAGTAGCTAAAAATTTTAATCAGTGTCCTCACAGCTATCAATAAAGATATGGCATCCAAAACATAAGAACTGGAAGCCATCAAAGCAGCAGATTAGAACAAGAGGTCTGATGATTCAGAGAGAGAATGAGCGAGAGATCGCCCATATGACTGAATAAGTGGCACTAAAAGGGGGGAGAAATAACTTGGAAAAAGGACTTATTCAATAAGTATTTATTCAATGAATTCAAAACAAAATATCAGATTCTGAATTGAAGCAAATTTCCTCTAGCTGACTTGGAATTAGCAAATCATAGGCCACAGAGAAAAATTAGAGTAATAACAATAGATGATTAGAGAACAAGAAGTGGAACATACAATCCAGGGATGTTTGTATAGAATTTTTTTATAGTGCTTTGATACTTTGAAAGGATTCCAACAGTGTTCATCAATCCACTTGTTGGGGTCTTCGTAAATACATGAAGACTTTTAAAATAGCACTATATTCTGAAGTCTATTTTTAATATCATTGGACAAAGATGGTCTATTATTGGCATAGGATATTTCTTACTTAGAGCAATCAGAATTAATGCTATACATTTGAAGACAGGTTTCTTAGTGTAGCTTTATCCAAGATTTATAGAGTTACAACTGAGCATAGTATATTCTAGTCAATTCTCATTTAACTCCCAATTTTAAGAAGGTGTAGCCGTGGTTAATATACACTAACATTGTATATACACGGATATACAAAGAAATACAGTTTCTTTATTTCATTGTAATTGTTCAGATTTTTTTTCCTGAGTCCCACATTGTTAAGGAATTAGAGCTATGTGGGGTGGCTGGTGGCTACATATTTTGCCCAATCTGCAGATGTTTATCCTGTCCAATCATTTGCAGTCTTTTCAGATCACTCACCTCCTTCTTGGATGACCTCAGGTAAGTGCTCAGGCATGCAGAAGTCAGCTCTGTCCTTCTGGGTGTAGGAAAGAGGCCTGAGGCTACTGCATCCTTAATAGATGCTTAGGAGAGATGCAGGGAGTGGAACTGCTTTCTGGACTGGTGACTGCTGAGGTGTGACAAATGCTACCTGGCTTTTGAACCTGGTGGGCGTGGGTACGGGAGGCAGCCAACTGATCAATGTTTCTCTCTCACATCAATGTTTCTCTCTCTCTCTCCCTCTCACTTCTTCTCTCTCTAAAAAATCAATGAAAACATATTTTAATCACTTTCTTTATCTTTTAATCTTGCTAATGGCACATTTCTCCCAACATGTCTAAGCCACAAATTCTGCCCTCAGAGAAATTTGTATGTAATGTCCCTTATGTAATCAGTCACTAAACCATACATATTTTTCCTCTGAAATGTGTCTCATGGTCCTCTTGTTCCTCTTTTCTATCGTCTTCATCTCCTTACATCTGAATCACAGCCGGAGTAGTTCAATGCCCCACCCCCTCTACACTGCCCTCATTCTGTCGCTAAGAGCACAACATCATCTTCACTTATTTCTTGACCCCAATATTGCTGGTGCTCAATCAATATTATTAGATATATTTCAGTTTCCCAGTCCCCACACGGAAGTGTCTGAGCAGCATAGGAACTGCATCCACAGGGAGGGAGAGAGGACCATCTCTAACATCAATGTTACTTCCCTCATGTGGAGCAGCCCTCAGTGCTGGCCCTCACTCCCACTTACTGCCCTGACAGCCTCAGAACACTGGGTTGGGTGGATCACCCTTTGGATCATTCTGGCATCTTTTTAAACTTCTTTTTTTCATCTTTCTACGGATGCCTTATAGGTGCATAGTAATGCCTTTGTGCCTTTGCCTTCAGTGTTTTGTGCCAGTCATATAGTTCATCCTAAGAACGTTGCCCTTGTTATTAATTCCATCCTGCTACTAGTATGTCTTGAAATATTGAAAAAGCAATGTTAAGGAATGGTGATGCGATTATTTTAAAGATACAGAGTAATTTCATGAATGGCCGTTTTCCTGACAAAGGGGGAGGGGAGAACGAGCAGAGTGTTCAGTTTCTAGGCTCCAGCACCA